CCTAGCTATGTAACTTGATAGAATTCAGCCGCACTCTGGTGGAGAATTCTAGCGGTGGCTGTTCTAAACGGTTTTTTCCCGTTTGGATTTAGATTTATTTAGTAAAGAAAAAAACAGTAAAAAGTGTATGTGAGGGGGAGAAGATTATCTGAGCAAGTTTTCTTGAGTTCCAGAATCCCTTCCCGTCATTTTAACTATAAATAGTTGAAAGATGAGTAAAAGTTCAAAATAAATAAATAAAAAATAAATTTTAAGAAAGCGCGAGGTTAGCAATATTTAAAAAAAACATTTTCACAGTTTTTCTTCGAAAAATACCAAGCCAATGCCGGAACAGCACTATATAGCTAAGAGACAACCAAGTGCCCAATTAACGTTTTATGTGCTACTAGCCATTTCTACATCGTTTTCCAGTTACAAAAGAGTGTACTGTTAAAGGTGTACATAATTCCCAAGCTTGCACATCGTATTGGTTTGTAAGTCCCTAGTAATCCGTTTCGCATTTGTTTGCTTATCCGACTAGCTTAGCAATACCAGCACACTCTCTCGTTACAACATGAAACCATGTCTATTATCACAGTATTTATCGCCCCCGCCACAAACGATTGGCTGCATTTTGAACAGCGGACAAGCAAAACTTCATACGTATATACTAAGCAACAGCTTCAGAGAACATTTTTCATGACATTTTAACAAGATAATTCACAAACGTGTTTAACGATAGGATGTGAAGAGTTGTATCAGAAAAAAATATCCATTCCAGCAGTCTCTTCTTAGATATTCCTTAATCTTTAACAAACTGCAAACAGTTCTTATGCCATCACAAAAAGAACGTGATTGGTTTCAAAAACAAAAACACGCTATCGTGACGTTTAAAAATTCTTCGTTTGGGGAACAGTTGAAGACAATAGGTAACTAAATAAAGTATGTAAATGGAACGTTTTCCGAACTAATGCGAAATGAACACGTACCTTGACGTACAATAAAAATTCTCATTTAACGTTCGTTAACGTAAAAGTACAAAACTTCATTAGCAACGTACGGTTACGAACGTTCTTATTTTTTCATCACATCACCAATTGTATCCAACTTCGCGGTTTTTATAGCCCATGGGCCAGCGCCCCCACTACTCGTAACATGCGGCGTTCGGCCTCCCCCACTCTGGCACCGTGAACAAGTACCCACCCCGGGGTGCACCGAGGACCATAGATTTCATAGATGTGATTTCAGAGAAATCGTGCACAGACTCTTCAACCGCACATGACGCGCAGTTTTTAATGTTTTTTTTTTGTGACGTTGAATAAATAAGACGTTTTATAAGTGTACATTCAAATGTTACGTTCAAATGTATGCCGGAAATGTTTCCAATGGGTTTTGTTTAATTATTTACATTCAACATTACGTGTGTTTCTATTTCAAGTAACATTTTTCGATGATGTTTACTGACGTTACAATTACTATCAATTTCAGCCATCTTTTCAAGAAAGGATAGGCAAAGTTAAACTGAAAATGTAACACATCCAAATTTTTTCACTATGGATAAAAGGAATGATATTCATATCGTAGCAATGATTATCAAACTCGTCCTAGTAGCTTCTTTTGAAAATTATCGAATCTACACGTAAGCTTCCGTAGCTCGATTCCATAAATTCTCGGCTATCCGAGAGACGCCGCGTCGTTGGCTGGGAGGCCGACGTTTCGCCTGACATGTCGGAGGCTTCCTCAGGGCAGTGACGATAGGCGACCTCACAGCCCTGAGGAAGCCTGCGACATGTCAGGCGAAACGTCGGCACCCAAGCCAACGACGCGGCGTCTCCCGGATAGCCGAGAATTTAATTATCGAATCTCCTAATGTCACGTCTTACAATACTTATTTCTAAATAAGTATTACATCTCCGGGAAAGCCACGTTCCTAAGCCTGAAAGTGCTAAATCGTGATTTTGTGACTCCTACCCAGAACGAGTTGACTACAGAGTCCCACTGTAATGGAACAACAGAGCGTGTGCCCCGCCGAAAGATGAGTAGTGCTGGTGAACAACAAAAATTGAAGCCAGAGCGTGGAAAACCAGCGAGTGTGTGTGTGTTTGAGTGTGACGCTCAACAAGTCGAGTTGGCAGACTCTAAAGACAAGACCATTAGTATGATCCCCGCACCTAGCTCAAAGTGAATTTAAATTTAGTGCCTTTGTTAGTGTACTTTTTTATTTATCTTCAAAACAAATATTCAAAAAAATATTTCCCTCTTTTCCTTTTCCTTTTTTATGATTATTTTTTTAAAATTTATTAATATTTTACTATTTCTATTATTTTTTATTTTTTAGAGCGTGAGTAATGTAAAACTGACCGCGGGATGCAGTCGGGTGTCTTTTTAGGTAACGAAGAGAGGAAGGGAATTAGCTGCGAAGCAAGGATGATGGGAAACTGACCTCCGAATGCAGTCAGGCTATTCCTACCTAAATCCCACAATTGAAGTAGGCTCGAAGTGGTAGAATATCTTAACTTTACGTTTATTATACGTGCATTAACTAATAATACAGTACTCTACAAAATAGTAGTTAATTAAAGATAATAAGTAATAATAAATAATACGTACGAGAAGTGAAAAGGCAAGCAAGAGTAATGGAAAACTGACTGCGAGATACAGTCGGGCTATGTCTTCTCAGGTAACGAAAACTGAAAGGGGATCAGCTGCGAAGCCGGGGTGGGGGACAACTGCCTCGGGATGCAGTCGGGCAATGCCTTCTCACGCAATGAAACAAGAACGGAGATTAACCGGAAGCGAAAATGAGGGAAAACTGAGCAGGGAAAGCAGTCGGGCAATGCCTTCTCATGGGACGCAAAAAAAAAACTGAATTAGATGCGAAGCGAGGGTGAAGATAAACTGACCGCGAGAATGAGGGAAAACTCACCGAGGGATGCGGTCGGGCAATGCCTTCTCACGTAATGAAACATGAACGGAGATTAACCGGGAAGCGAAAATGAGAGAAAACTGCTCAAGGGATGCAGTCGGGCAATGCCTTCTCACGAGACGCAGAGAGAAACGGGATTAGCTGCGAAGCGAAGGTGAAAATAACCTGACCGCGGGACGCAGTCGGGTGATTCCCCCGCATTTGAGCCGCAAACGCCCCGTCGCCATCCCCAAGGACCCCATTCCGGGCCTCCAAACTGCGCGCCTCGCCTCGCCATTGTTTCCCAGCGTCGCCCTCATTGGAGTGCCGGCCGGCGGCTGGCGCGGGCTGGAATGGAGCCTCCTCCACATCGCATGACCTTGCAGGGGGCGTGCCGCGCCTTTTGATGAGCTGGTCGGAAGGTGCTCACCCCAAGGACACGGTCGCCGCTGGGGTGGAGATTTGTGATGCGACATCGCCAACGAAACATCGATGTAGCCAAACACCGATGTTCAAAATTAACACTGATGTAGGCGACTCCGGTTATAGCGAGCGTCTGCGGAGTAACATGTTTGGTTCACTATATCAGGGTTTCACTATATCCGATGTCAAAATAAAATGGGGATTCTCCACAATCGTTGATTTTATTATTATATGTACATATTCAGAAAATACAGCAACAACACGACCTGAAAAATACAATGTATTTATTTGAACGTAAAATAATCATTTTTTTCTACAGTTTGCTTCGTACATTTTTCATTATATCCTTCTCCAGAGTTTGTGCTCTCTCCATACTTGATTCTGAGTTGTCCCTAAGTAACGTAATGTAGTCTTCGCACCTTTCAATGCCTCTTGCAATGTGGGAACACCACCCTTCTCTTCGAAGGCAGTTTCAATTGCCTAATTACCTACGAGATCCGATTAATTTCCAGGACTTATTTCCTACGTTCACTATACCCGAGTTTCAGGTTCACTATAACCACTATGCTTATTTGTAATGTAAGTGAAACGGGACCAATGGCTTAAGTTCGCTCTAACCAAGAGTACACTATATCCGAGTTCTTTATAACCGGTCTCGACTGTGTCAACCAATATCCATCGTTGTTCTTAAACGTCCACGTTTTAAAGCGAGTTTGGAACCCTGTAACATTAAATTCGAGCGCAACAAAATTTTATATGAAAGTGTCCGTGAATCTCAATTTTTCATTAAAAGTTAACTGAAAAAAAACTTTAAAAAACGCCTCTACATGTGCGAAAGACGAAGAAACATGGCGACGGTATCATCTCGAACGAGGAATAGTCTGCGCGGTGAAAACTGCGTTCGTGTGGTTCGAATACAGTGGTATCATCAGCAACTATTTTACTTTAACAAAATTGTGATTTTGAGAATGTTTCGAAGAAGACATTCATAACACCGAACACAAAACATCGAAGTGCAAAGAACATCAACATCAATACATCGATGTTTGAAATATCTATATTTTTATAGAAACATCTATATTTAGAAAACATCGATATTTTTATAGAAACATCGATATTTTGAAAACATCGGTGTCAATGTCGCATCTCTAGTGGAAACAACCTAATAGGAATATTAGTGACGAATGAGAATTAGACATTCTGCGAAACAAATTCAACTGCCAAAAAAAGAAACAAGTATGTTTGGAAGTATATTATTTGGGGCTTTGTTGTTGCAATAAATGCCTCTACGACATTAATTACTACACACATTAATTCAACGACATCCTGATGCGTTTACTAAGAAATATGAGCTACCAACTTTGTTGTTTCTCCTGCTTGTACTTGTATATTAAATAATCTGATCCGCTATTTTTTTAGAAATGTCAAATGTTATTACGTCATAAATTAACTGAGAAACTTGCTGACGTCTTTACTAAGAAATGTAAGCTATCAACTTAGTTGTTATTCCTACAGGTATGTTGTGTAATAAATTATCTCTCTGATCCACCATTTCTTAACAAATGGCATTAACTGAAAGTATCCTAAAAAGACGGCAGCATATCTCCGTTAATTGTTTTCAAAAAGAATAATTCATTACATTTGGTTAATACCAATTAGACACATTGTCGAACGTAAGAACACCATTTCTCACCTACGAAGACACCTGTGGCAAATAGCATCCACCAGGAACATGTCACTGCTCACGTCACACTCCACGTTTACACTCCCACAATTCTGCGGCATACATCGTTTTATCACGCACATTCACACACACTCCGGAACGGTCACTTTTGCTGAGAGTATTCCACGTAATTTAACAACTATTAGAAGTGCGCACACAAGAGCGCGCAAAGAAGTAAACGAAAAAAAAGAAACAAAAAATTAAAAACCAATTCCTATCACAGACCACTTTCGCATCGACACTTATCTTCTTCGCATAAAACGTTCACTGCAACAATTCAGCTGGCGTACACCTAAGACTTCTTTGTATTTTTGCGCTATCTGAACACCGGCGCATCGACTAGAGGTGACATCACAGAAGAGACGAAAAAAATATAAAAAACAAAATATTTTTAAAAAAACGTCGTGGCACGAGACACAATTTCAGCAGCTTCGACACGACCGCGCGACGATCACAAACACGATTGGTGAAGAGCTCGAAAAAAAAAGAAAAAAGAAAAAAAGCGGCTGCGCTGCGCAGGCGCCCGCGGCCGTCGGCCGGCGACTGGCGCGGGCGGGCAGGGCGCCGGCAGGGCGTGGCGAAGGCGGGCTTGAAGCGCAGGCCGCGATTACCTCACTGGTGCGCACAGCGTGCGCGCCTTGCCACGCCGCTCGCGCTATCTACGCCAGCGCTCGCACGGCACGGCAACGGGACGGATCGGGACGAGGCGGACGGGACGAGGCGGAACGTGGCGGACCGGACGAGGCGGAACAGGACAAGACGGGGCGGCACGAGGGGACGGACGAGGCGGCGGCGAGCGGAACGACGAGGCGCCGAGCGAACGTGGCGACCGGCGAGCGGACGGCGACAGACGGGGCGGGACGAGGGGCGGAATGGACGAGGCGGGCCGGGAACGAGCGACGACGAGGCGGCCGGGACGAGGCGGAGCTCGACACGACGGACCGGATCCTCATGAAGCAAACAACGTGGCGCGACCGAGGACGAGGCGAGCGGACAAGGGGCGGGACGAGGCAACGGGACAAGGCGGACGGGATGAGGCGCGGACGTGATGAGGCGGGACGGGTGTGAACTTGGCGACGGGACGAAGTGGATGAGGAGGGGGACGGAGTCGAGGGACGGAAGTGGGGCCAGATGGGTCCGAGGCGGGACGGGACGAGGCGGGACGTGGGGGGCGGAACGAGGCGGGGCAAAGTGAGAAGAGGCGAAACGATGTGGGGAACGAAACCAGAAGAGCCGGAACAAGCCTGGACGAAACGAGGCGGGACGAGATGGGGAGGGCGGGAACGCTTGATTGATTGATTGTTAGTGATTCCGGACGCATCAACGGAAGAGGTCATTTATCCCGTAAGTATAGTGCATGTTTTCATCCGTGATCTTCCCTCGCTGGATGACAATATCAGGCGTCGACCTAACGTCGACTATCGAGGATTTCCCCTACCAGGTATCTCCCACCGGGGAGGCACCGTGCCAGCCGGTATAAGCTCTAAGGTTCCAAGCTCGACAGGTCTCCAAGTATATGTGTGATAGTGTAATGCATGTTAGTGGACGTGTGAATAGGGGATGACGATAAGTGAAGCAAGATGAAGGAAAGACCGCTCGCGGTCCGTGGCCCGTTTCTTAGGGTACTGCTCTGGCATTTGCCTTCATTGGTGCATTCTAGACATAACTTACTTCTAAATCAATGTTTATCACGGCATATAGATGATAGAAATGTATTGGGTAATTTTTTGCCTTATTTGGCCATTCTTCAATTTTTAGGTAATTTTTGGAGGATCTTTGCGTCAGTTTTACGCATTTTGTAACCTTTTCGTGTTTTTTGTTAGTAAATGTTTCATTAATTTACAGTGAAAGACTAAAATAAAATTTTTAATGAATCATCAGTTCGTGATGAAATTCACTACTGCAATGCGTTCTCGTTTTCGAACTCTCAAAATTACTGGGATCTTTTGTAACTTCCTAGACCGATCAAAACTTGAGTTTGGAAGAGTGGAGCTAAGGGTAATATTTTCTCCTAAAATAAAGACTTTAAAATAGCATAACTTTATATAAATAAATTTCATTTAAAATTATAAAATGCATTGAGTAAATAAACACATTGAATACATTTTTTTGAGTATTTAAAAAATAGGTGATTCCCCACTTACTTTTTAAATCATTTTAGATGCATTTCTCCCTTTATTGTCAAGTAACTTTTCAGGTCATGTTCAAAGAAGTTTTAGGCCATCAGAATCCGAGCCCTGCTCAACATTGTGCTTGTATTAGTCCACCGTATGCTGTGGAGGACCTCCGGAGATTCGATATGACGATCAAGAATGCAGATTGCGAGCACACACTCGGGGCGATGCTTATCTCGCTGCTGATAGCAGCGCGGCGTCGCTGCTGGAGAGAGAGGGGGAGGCTACGCGTTGACTCACGGCCAGTTATTGTCAACGTCAGGGTTGTCCAAAGCACCGCGCCAGAGAATTCATATCACATGCGTCATGAAAAGTCATGGGTGAGCTATTGCGCGGACAATTCGGGTTCAGCCAACGAGCTTCAGGCACCAGCTTGCGTCACAATATTAGCGGGAATTTGTCAGCGTCAGCGATATTCTAGAATTGTCGCATATTTTACAAGCCATTGAAACATCTTTTTTTTTAAATACTGAATATTTTATTTCAAGTACGCCTTTATCATGTCATTTTGTGTTGGTCGCTGGCCTGTTCATCATCACGCTCTTTTCATAATCATCACATGTAATGATGCGACATCGACAACAAAACATTGATGTTCAAACTTCAAACATCGATGTTTTTAAACATCAACGTTTTTAAGTTGGTTTAATAACCTATAACATTAAATTCGCGCGTAACAAAATTTAATTTGACAGTGGCCGAACACAATAATTTATAATTAAAGTGTAACTGAAACAAAGTTAAAAACGCCGCTCCGTGAGTGAAGTACAAGGAAAGACGAAGGAAACACTAAAACATCAGGATCATCCCGTCAGAAGATGTGTGGTCTTTTCGATGAAAGCAGTACAAACCGTGTTTGTTTGGTTGGAACATAATCAGACAGTGGTAACATCAGTCAGTTATTATTATTATTATTATTATTATTATTATTATTATTATTATTATTATTATTATTATTATTTCATATTTTAACTTCTACAAAATTATGAATAAGGGAATTTTCATCCACGAACAAAACAGTGAAAACGTAAAAACATCAAGAAAAAACATCGTTTTTCCAAAACACATCGGCTTCAATACATCGATATTTTTTATAGAAACATGGTTGTTTTGAAAACTTAGGCTTCGAAATTGCAATCCCAATAACATGACGGATTCTCTCATCCCAAATTGCATGAGGGTATTTCACCAACTCTGAATTTTTTGTTTGGACGTAGCTATTCCCCTTACGCATACTATCGGTCGGGCCTGACTCGGTCGTTTTGTACTTCGGGTTTTCAAGCTGGCTCTCTGGGGCACCGCGATGATACATTAAAAATTATCTTTAGATTTGATTTTTTTCAATCCTTGTGACATTTGTCTACAAAATAATTTTGTACTGCCATACTATATGTTGTACATACATCTCGAGTACAGACCAACTCAGATAACGCGCATCCAGCTTCATCAAGTGCAAATACCTTTATCTGGGGAGGGGGGGGGAGATCAACATTTTAGCTGAATCCCGATTTTTATCTCCCAAGGTTGTACGCCCTGGGGGTAAGGACGATGAGAGTGAGGGATAAAAGAACGCCACACACATATAGACAAAATCAAATACACCCCCATTCCGGAGGCGGGACTCGAACCCGCGGTCTTCTGGTCCGAGATCGATACGGTACTACTGCCCTAACGCTCTCAATCATCTTGACCGACTTATAGGTTATATATATATATATATATATATATATATATATATATATATATATATATATATATATATATATATATATATATATTATTGGCGTATAGGCCATTACTGACCACGCTACACGACGTGTGTAATCCTTCCAGGATCAGCTTTTCAGCTGTATCCTTGGATTACAACAAGGTTGTTACGCCTTGAAGTGTGAATTATGAGATGATAGGTGAAGGGACAATCACAAATACGACCATGTCTACGCAGGACTCGAACCTGCAGCCTCCTCGGCTCAGACGACGGCTGCCGCAACCGTCTGCGCCACGGGGCCGATTATAAATATATATTATATAATATATATTGTTTATTTTACTAATTAATTGTGGATTTGAACTAGCCTATTATATTACTTACTCATTTGTATTGAATCTTTAGTAGGCGTATATTATCAACCCTTAAGAATAGTTGAAACGAATTGTTATCAGAGGAGTCGCGGGCAGTTTCGTCTAGGTCAGGGCACCGTGGACGAAAGAAGTTTGCACACCCCTGAGCTAGAGCGCGCCGTCCTGTAGCGCGCGTGACACCCCTGGTCGCGGCGCCCACGCGGAGCGTCGGTCTGTCGAGGGGGAGGGGAGAGGGGGTCGGCATGCGCTGGCTGGGAGCCAACCACGCGTCTGCCGTGCTTGCCTCCTCCTCCTCCTCCTCCTGCTGCTGCTGCCGCGGCCGGGCAGCGAACGGGGGTCTTCGGCCACGCCGGCCACCGTTGCCGCTGCTGCGTCCACCGTCGGAGGAGGCTGGGGTCTCCTCGGACACGGATTTGCCGCGCGAGCTACGAACGACGAGCTGCGGACTTTACGGAAGCGAAAAGTGGCCTATGAACTCCAGAACACACAGTAGACTTCAAGCAAGACGAGATGAGATTTTTAAGATCAGTCCTGGGAGTAAAAAGAATGGACAGATTAAAAAACGAGACCATCCGGAAAAATATAGGAATTTACAACTTAAAGGAAAAAATTAAGGAATACAGAGAACAATGGAAAAACACCTCGAAAGAATGGAAGACGACCGTATTCCAGTTTTCCTCCAAAGCAAGTGCATTCAAACCAACGGTTCTAATGCTTGCCCGGGAGATATAAGAAGAAGAAGTGAAGCTACTGTGACGTCATGGATAAAACTCCACAGAGACACAGAACAGAGCTTTCGTATAACAAATATATTATAAACAGAAACAAAACAAATATATACACTTTAATAATCTACTTACACCCTAGCTCTGATAGACTACTATCCCTGATCGCGGGAGCGATATCAAACCCGATTGAGGATGCGTTTTGATTGTGGCATTCGCCACTTCTATTTTGAAGTTACGCGCGCCCAAGCCTAGTCTTTCCGTGACCGGATGTCAGCCGCTTGGGAGACAAACAGTCCGTTCCTGGCGCACCAACAGGTGGTTGCCTGCGATCGCAGGAGCGATCTTTTAGATCCGATGGAGGAATCGGCGTTTTTAATCGTGGACTCCACCACTCTTAACCTCGAAGCACGCACACAGCATCGCTCCCTCGTGACGCGCAGTCACCCAAGGACAATAAAGTCCGCCAGGCTTTCGTCAACTAATGACTCCAGCCTCGCGAGCCTGGCGTCGCATATGCCCGTC